GGAGGCATTGTTTCACCGGTACTTGCATGCGCGCGATGCTCGTGGGGTGTACGCGTTGAAAGAAAGCCTCGACTGCGCTCTCGGACTGACCATTGGAACCACGCCGCCACCCCGAGCTGCGACAATCCAAGGGCCCTGCTTCGGAACAATTCTTACGTGTCCTGTGCCTCTGTTGAAAAACAAATCACACCTTTTTTTGCAGCACAGGGTATTTAGGTGATCTGCTGCTCGAGCACGGGGTTCCTCTCCCTCAGCCAAGGCCGCGGTCGGACCGATCGCTCGGGGTCCGGTGGACGGGAGCTCTGGCCGCCACAACGCGCCGGGGGGATCAGTAATCCGGGACCCCGCGAGAACAGGGGTGGGCACCGACAGCATGGGGGACTTGTGGTGGCCGAGAGCGGCGGCCAGGAAGAAGGAGTCGCGGGCAAGGCTATCTGTAGCTGTTGTAGTTCAGCCGGAAACTGTGTGCCGCACCCACCAATCGGGCCAAAGCGCGTGCTTAGGTACACCGCAACGGACGCCCTGAATTATAGAGGTTTTGTCTACAAGAGCGGAAGCTTCATTCACTCAAGATGCAAGCATGGGCCGGACACCCGTTATGCTGTTCAAACGTTTGAGAAAGAGGAGTTCCACCAGTGGCTTCATGTTTCTCTTATCTGGCGCACCCATCACTCGGTATTTCGCTCTGCAATCGCTAGCGGCGCTCAGCAACTACGAAGGCGGAAAAGGTGGCTACAATTGCCACGAAGAACGCGGGAGCTTGTCGTATCCAAGGCATGACGCACGACGAGCAGAATTTCGGACAAAACACCAGCAAACTCGGGAACGATTCAACCGGCGCGCTGTTGCTCCAAATATAGTAGTGAGCAACAACTCCTACAGCACACCGCACCAAGCCTCTACAACTACGCAAGTGGTTCAACAACACAGCTCATCAAAGCGGGGGGTTCTCTCCTGCAGATGTCGACGTCGCTGTCGGCTCTATTTTCCGTCGATCGATGCACGACAAACTGCACCACGCCGACCCCCCTTAAGTGCGATGGCGGTTTTCTCAAGCCGATGAAGGATAGCTGGACGACCTCAGCACATCTTTACGCGCGGAGAAGGCCTAAACTTCAAGCCTCTCATATTGCAAATGCGGAGCAACAAGAATGTCATCACGCAAGAGTGTCAAACAAAGTTTCAGCGAGAGACGTTCAAGACGAACGGACCAAAGCGAGACAACACAAACACAAAAACAGACGTACGTGGGTATTTGCGGCGGTCATCAGCATGTATGTCAAGCAGCACGCTCGCACCCCTACACCGCGTTCACTTCACCTCTCAATCCCCCTCCTCCTCGACATCCTGCACGACGACATCAACAAGAACAACAAGCGCTCCGTCCTGGAAGCACTTCCCCCTATCGCGTTACAGATTTCGTGCTCGCAGCAGGAACCGCTATTCTTCGCCTGGCGGAGGCCGGGGTTTGTTACTTTCTAGGGATATGCTACGAATGGCTGCAATATAGGTTTTTCTAAACCGAGCTCACGAATGGTGCTCTTCTTCGAAGGTTTTGAGTACTTCGAAGCTATATCAATCTCTTGACTGACAAGTTCTTAGGTGCGAGCTTTAACTGTATATGACGCGCTCGACACCACCGATGAAAAAAGCAGCGCAGACTCGAGCACAAGCGTGATTCTACGTGCTCGAACAACGGCAACAGGATGACATCTATCACGAATACAAGTTATGCCTCCTGTCATCAAGGGGTGATGATGCAACATGAGTAAAAAAGTGGTAGCAGCACCGACCCCACAGCTGACTGCCAGCTGCGGTGTGGCGATCCCGAAGCTCACACAGCTGACACGTGTTTTTTTACTCGAACAGCCCAGCGAATCAAACAGAACAGTACAAGTCTATGTACAGCTGTCTTACGAAGACTTCGGAGAGTTCGAAGACCTTGTCGAAGAAGCCATCAACCAGCGCGAGCGGAGGCACACCTCGTCATCTGGGGCAGAAGCGTCGCCACCAGTGGCATCTGCAGGAGGAGGAGGAGGAGTTGGAACACGCAGCTTCACCCGACCAGGGTAGAAAATAGGCCCGCTGCTGCCTACAGTAGTCCTCTTCAACCTCTTCGGAACGATCTAAACTCTTCGACGGAGAGTTTTGGTCGTTCCGAAGGGGTGGAAGTGGAGATGACAGCGGGGGCATATTTTAACCTGGTGTGGCGAGATTTTAGGTCGCTGATCCTATGCCGTCCATTTAACTAGCTTGAGGGCTAATTTCTGTCGTTCTCGACTGGTTTGCGTTCAACAAGACTAGACTCTTCCGCCTTGGGTTCGCTGACGTTCGTGTATGGTGTGGTCGAACATCTCGATGGAGTGTTCACTGAAAGTGGTCCACACTCACGCAGTGGTGGGATTCAGACCGGCAACACGTTCAGTGCAGTCACGACAAAAAAAAAAAAAAGTTCGTTTCAGAATTCAAACATGCTCAGAACGATTTGTAGCCATGCCAAGCATCGCGAGTATTGGCATAAAACAGAAAGGTTTGTAATGACTTTGGCTACCATGCGTACACTACTTTCGATGTTGTGTTGTACGCAGATAACCAAATCCATGAACAATCATTCTCTCTTTGCCCGTGCTCTCGATGTTGTGTATGTCAATAAGATATTCTGAGCATTTTGTTGAAGTCTGAACCGAGCATCGCTTTGTATCGTGTCTGCACTGAACGCGTGCCCAGTCTGATTCCCGTCTACTTCCCACAACTGCGAAAGTGTGGAACAACCTTCGTTTTTCAGCAAACCCTCCATCAAGAAAATGTCCGCCATGGCGTTCAACCGCACCATGTACGAATTGATGTCGAGCGAACCCGTGGTGATCTCGTCTTTCTACAAAGAAGTTTGTCTTTGGTGTATTTTGTTTCTATTGTTGGTATACAATCGAGCTCCGATATAGGCGGGTCACAAAGTCCCTCGGCCCCCTTATACCAGAGCCCGCTCTTGTAAGGTACCCTGTTACATCGGATCGGAGCCACGACTGTAAGTACTTTCGGTAGCGGTTCTGAGTCGCCCAGCTTGCCGCATCGTATCACGCACGTAGGTACGTCGCTGGAACTACTTGTTGCTGCAGCGACTACTTGATGCGTAGCACACGATTGATCAACCTCTTGTTGGGGTATGTTGTTCACGTGTACGTGATCGACGTCAGTCAAGATGCGTGGCCATGGGGTCCTCTCGTCTGATCGGCTAGCGCTGAAGGATACACGTTCAAGAGCGTTTCCGTCGGTACGGCTTTGCACGGATGGTGCAGCCCCCTGGCGGTCCCCATCCCCTCCCCTTTGTTTTCGGGTCTCTTCCGACCTATCAACTGCCACATTTTTCCAACTATCTGTTGAGGAGTGTTGCTATGGGGCCTAGATAGGGTACATCTTTGTCTAGAATAGGATTTGGGACAGCCGGGAGGTATACCTCTGAGGGACCATACCACATCAGGATTCAGCTATCTGGGTGTCCCCTAGTTGCGAGGTGGATCCCCACCTCCACCAGACCTTCCTCGCTCTCAAGCAACATCTCATTTCTACACCATCGTGGAGGGGTGACCGTACCTCTTTCATAACCCCAGCTTGCTTCCAACAGCTGGGGCACCTTCACATCTGGCGTCGTCTGGCAAGTCTACGGGTAAGCTAGCGTTGGACGCAGCGCTGTGCTCCCGTGTTGCGTGGTGTTATCTCTTTTTCGATCGCTTGTTGCTTGCAATTTCAGGTCTCACCAACTACGAGTGCTTGTCTCGAGTCGAGTGTCCCGGGACACTCAGGGATAAGATGCGTGCGTACGATGCGCTTGCCAAGAGCGCACGAGCACGGGATCTTGCGAACGATTCTCGCATCGGAGATGGTTCAGGAGTAGCAGGAGAATTCTCGAATGTCCGTTAACCCCCTCAAGCGACCCCCTCCGTGACTTCATCGCACGAAGTCACCTCAGTAGCAGACAAAGATTGTTCACGACAGCCACATGTACGGGCCATGTGCGGGCGGGCGCGAGATGACAGCATGCTTCCCTCCTCCACTGCCGAGACTGGTTTCGTGCCGGCATATCGCCCGGCGTCTGCTGATTACCCGTTGGTGTCGTCGGATTTGACCCCGCTCACTGCGAGTTGGCGAGCCCTGGCTGTACAGCAATTGGGTGTGCG